TTTTTTTTTTTAAGTTTTATTATTTTGGTTAGAAAAAATGTTAGAGAAACTATAAACCTGAATTTTTTTTTTAACCAGGTATAATGCCAGAAGAACTTGATAAGCAAAGTAGGTGTTTGATCCTACGTGCGATAACAGCGGCGAGAATTATATTTGCACAATACTGGGAGAAGGAAGAAATGCCACCAGAAGAAGAAATAATCCAAAATAATATTAGACTGTGCGGAAATGGACAGACTTACTTTAAGGCTGAAAGAAAAAAAGAAGAAACAGAATATTTTCAAACTTGGGACCTGTTTTATCAATGGTTAGAGAAAAGATTTAGGGATTAGGAATTTAATTTGGATTAGTGAATCAGGTGCTCAGACGACACGTTTTTGCTGAATGATTATTATTGAAATCTGTTAAAAAAAACAAGACCGTGCCTGCTGTGGTTGCTAGAACTCCAAGGTCCATCAACCACAGCCCACTGCCAAACCGCAGGGGGAGGAGAGAGGATAGTTCCCTGCGACTGACGAGCCACACCCTCGGTGGACAAGTATATCTCACCGACAGGCAGTCCTCGAGTTACGGCCATCATCGAGCCCATTAAGTCGGGCCGGTTGGTAAGCAGGCCATCACATGACCGTGCCCTATTTTATGTCCCTTTTCTGTGGCAGTCGCTAAGTGAACAGGGCAAGGCAATGCTGTGCTCGTTAAGCGAATCCATGGTTTGCTAGGGGCAGTTTTTTTTTGCTGGAAACCATCTTGACTATGGGGGACAGAAAAATCACATGACTTTCTTTCTTTCTCTCTCTCTTTCTTTCTTTCTTTTCTTTCATCCTTCCTTCTCTCTTTCCCTCCACCCTTTTCTCCTTCCTTCCTTTCTTTTTCTTCCTTCTTTCTTCCTTTTCTCTTCCTTCCTTTCTTCTCTTGTCTTCATTCCTTCTCTTTCTTCCTTCCTTCCTTTCTTCCTTCTTTCTCTCTTCCATCCTTCCTTCTCTCCTTCCCTCCACCCTTCCTTCCTTCCTTTTTCTTTCTTTTTTTCTTCCTTTTCCCTCCTTCCTTCCTTCCATCCATCCTTCTCTCTGCTTCCTTCTTTCCTTTCTCTCTCTCTCCTTCCTTTCTCCTTTTTTCTTTCTCCCTTCCTTCTCTCTCCTTCCCTCCACCCTTTCCTTCCTTCCTTCCTTCTTTTTCCTTTTCTCTCTCTCCTTCCTTCCTTCCATCCTTCTCTGCTTCATTCCTTCCTTCTCTCTCCTTCCTTCCTTCCTTCCTTCTTCTCTCTCCTTCCTTCCTTCCTTTCTTTTTCTTTCTCTTCCTTCTTCTCTCCCTCACTGTGTCTTTCAAAACTTTGAAATCCAGGTTGTAAATACCTTTTTGGAGGCTCCATGGTGACTTCGAGTGGTTGCCAAGCAACCAGTTGTAAGTCCAGGCCTACCTGTGTGATTGCTGAGGGACGCTGATGCAACCGTTAGTAATTGACCCCTTAGGAACACCAACCTGAGAGAAACCATTCACGCTCCCATTTTCCTGGAGCAATACTGAGGCGGAGAGAGATAGAGGGCATTTTTAAAACAAGATTAGACTTTCGGCTGCTGGACTGGCTCGTCTGCCCCAAGGCACGCCAAGACAAAAGAATTTTTCATTTCATTTCTTTATTTTACCACTCGTCGCTCCAAGGAGGCTTCAATCCGGCCCAGGACTTGCAAGGAAATTTACCTGGAATTCCTGATCAGCTCGACCTGCCGCGACGTCAGGGCAAAGACGCAGGGACTCTCCTGAAGTTTCTCGTTGTTCTGCGGGACTGAGACAGGGAAGGCAAAAAGATGGTCAGGGGAGGGATCCGAAGGGAGACAGGCAGCTGCCAAATTTTCTCATCAAAAAGTCACTGCCAGTCACTGATGACACGAGACCAAGGAGAGCTGGCTGGAAGCCCTCCTGGAAGCAAGAAAATGGGTTAGAGGTTCCTCTGCGAGATCCTATAGAAACACCTGCCCTTCAGAGGGACTTCCCAAGCCAAGAAAACTATCATCGGTTGAAGAGAGTAATAATAATAATAATAATAAAGTTGGAAGGGACCTTGGAGGTCATCTAGTCCAGGGCTTTTCAACCAGTGGTACGGGTACCACCTGTGGTACATTGGCACCTGGCAGGTGGTACGCGGCCATCCTAGGAAAGTGGTAGCAGGGGAGGGGAATTGGCTGAACCGGTGGCAGCACCGCACAAGCCTGAGCGAGAGACGGCTGGAGCTGCAGGGCTGTCAGGGCTCACGGGAAGCGCCAGGATCAGTGCCGCTTTCCAGCTGATCGGCACTTCTTCGGGACTGTCAGGGCTCAGTGGAAGCGCCAGGATCAGCGCCAGGCTCCAGCTAGAAAGCAGCACTGATCCTGACGTTTCTGCTGAGCCCAGAAGAAGCGCCGATCAGCTGGAATGTTGCAGCCTCTCCAGGGTCTTGTGATTTACATTCAGATGCTTGGCAACTGATTCATATTTATGACGGTCACAGTGTCCCAGGGTCATGTGAAGTGACCAAAACCTGCTGCAACCACCCAGCAGATGGGGGGAATAAAAACCAAACACCCCCCCACCCCACCTCCGCTGCCAATCCTCAACAGAAATGCTCACAACAATGAAAACCTCGGACAGGAGGAAGAGCGCCGCTGGGCGGGCAGGCAGGTGTCTTGCTCGGCTGTGGCTTGGGGGGCACTTTTTTCAGTGCCATTGTAACTTTGAAGAGTCACTAAGCGAACTGTTGTAAGTCGAGGACTACCTGTACTTTATCATTTTTTCCCTTTTTGGGGGGGGTCATGAAGTTTTTGACCCCTTGCTAGGCGACTGGTGGCACTCGGATGTTGCCATATCCTAAAAGTGGTACAATGGGTGAAAAGGTTGAAAAGCCCTGTTCTGGTCCAACCCAGGGGATCTCTGGTGGGTGGGGCGGTGGGCAGGAGGCTTTTCCTGCAGGGTGAGGCAAGGGGTAGGGCAGGGGTGCCATTGTTGCAGGGCAAGGCAAGGCAAGGCGAGGCAGGGGTGGCCCCCGCACACAGAGGCCAGCGAGCGCATGGGGGCATGCTCTACCACCTCTACTCAAGCTTGCTAGCTGGCCACTTCGCCTTCTTTGTGCTGGGTGGGGCTGTTGCTCCGGGCACCAGCAGCCTAAAGTTTCCCCAATTTTGGCCACTACTGTATTTCCTAAGACCTTTTTTGGAGGATATCCGTGCAACTGGTAACTATCCTAGTGTCTGGTAAGAAAGAGACATCGATGTTGACTGGATAATAATAATAATAATAATAATAATAATAATAATAATAATAATAATAATAATAATAATAATAATAATAATAATAATAATAATAATAATAATAATAATAATAATGTTGGAAGGTACCTTGAAGGTCATCTAGTCCAACCCCCTGCTCCAGGCAGGAAACCCTATATACCATTTCGGACAAATGGCTGTCCAGTCTCTTCTTAAAAACTTCCAGTGCTGGAGCATTCACCGCTTCTGGAGGCAGGTTGTTCCACTGGTTAATTGTTCTAACTGTCAGGAAGTTTCTCCTTAGTTCTAGGTTGCTTCTCTCCTTGATGAGTTTCCATGCTGCTGTCTACGTTACAACTGACTAAACGCAGATTCCCTACTTCAGTCCACAGCCCTCCTTTTTGCCTCTTATGTCCAGTCTTGTCTGCACTCTCAAAAACAAGCGCGCTATTTCTTTTTTTCAGCTCTGAGCTGCCCTAAGACGGGGGTCCCCAACCTGCGGGCCACGGCCCACCACCGATCCGTGGCTTCTTTGCAACCGGACCGTGTAAGTGGCTGGCTGGTGCGTGTACACAACCGTACTCAGGCGAGCATCGCGGGCGCTTGGGACCCCACTCACACTCGGAGGCTCACTCACGTGAGCAACACCGATGCTCGTGGCCCAACTTGGATGAGCGTTGCAGCCGCTCAAGGCGCCACTCGCACAAGTGCTCGTGTGTGCGCACACGCCCTGCCCCTCCCACAAAACCATCCCCTCCCCCTTCAACCCCTCCAGGCCGCCAACCCGGAAAGGTTGGTGAACTGCACCCTAAGAGGTGACTTAGGACAGGGGTCCCCAAATCAGTGGCCAGTACCGGGCTGTGGCCTGTTAGGAACTGGGCCGTGCAAGCAGCAGGCGAGTGCACTAAACTTTACACACATTCAGGATTAGGTTGGGGGTAACCTAACCCTAACCCTTGCCCCCCCCCCCCGTTGCCACAGCTCCTGCCACTGCTGGTCCGTAGAGCCAGAAAGGTTGAGGACCACTGACTGAGTTTATTTCCAATCAGAAGACAGAGATTTTCAAATATTCTTTTTGATCAGCTGGTTTGATTAGAAGGTCGAAAAAAAGACCGTGAACAGTACAGAAAATAAAGTTGGGGGGGGGGGGGG